TCCTTTTCCCTTTGGTAACTGTTAGTCCTTTCTTGGGTTCTGTGAGTCTTCTGCTGTTTTGCTCCTTCAGTTTTTTCTTTGTTCTTATACTCCACAGATGAGTGAAATCATTTGATACTTGTCTTTCTCTGCTTGGCTTATTTCACTGAGCACAATACCCTCTAGCTCCATCCATGTTGTTGCAAATGGTAGGATTTGTTTTCTTCTTATGGCTGAATAATACTCCATTGTGTATATGTACCACATCTTCTTTATCCATTCATCTATTGATGAACACTTAGGTTGCTTCCATTTCTTGGCTATTGTGAATAGTGCTGTGATAAACATAGGGGTGTATATGTCTTTTTCAAACTGGGCTGCTGCATTCTTAGGGTAAATTCCTAGGACTGGAATTCCTGGGTCAAATGGTATTTCTATTTTGAGTTTTTTGAGGAACCTCCATACTGCTTTCCACAATGGTTGAACTAATTTACATTTCCACCTGGATGTAGTATTTTTAATGTTGTTACTTTTGTGTTTGAGAATTTGAAAATTTTGCTCACATAATTTTCTGCATTTCTTATTTGATCTTTTTAAATCTTATACATTGATCCTTTTCTTCCATAATATTTTGAAGTCTGTTTGTATAAAGCTACTGATTTATGAATATTCATGGCATATGCCACTAAGCTATTATGTTTTTAATTTGTTTCTTGTGAGATTTCCAGATATATGAGCATATAATCTATAAGCAGTGATCGTTTAGACTCTTTTCCACTTTTGTCTCTCTAATTTCTTTTTCTGATGTAGTTTTGCTGCTAAGCGCCTTCAAAAACCTATTACATGATAACGATGAATGTGGCTGTTCTGGTTTAAAATAAGTCCATGAGTTATTTGACATTCATCCCTTCAAAAGGGATGAATTTCTAAACACATATTGATAGAGATAGAGACGGCTTCTACTCTTCTGAATGGAGGCTGGACTAAGCGACTTCCTTCTAAGGAACAGAAATTAGGTAGAGGGGATGGTATGTGACTTTGGAGATCAGGTCATAAACAGGCTAAGGAAGCTTCCTTTCTCTCCGTTTACTTACACTGGGGGGAAGTGGGAGTGCCAGCTATGCTTTGATACTCAAGCTGCCTATGGTTCCAAATATTGACGCACTGAGGCTTCTGGAAAGTTGTGCAAGTGGGATCTTTAAAGTGAATCCTGCTGCCCCAGTTAAGCCTTCATGACTGCAGCCCTAGTTGGTATCTTGGCTGTAACCTGTAAGATAAATTCTAGCCAAAATAAGCAGGCAACGAGAGGCAACAAAGGGCCAGGCAATTTATTTGAGCACAATTCCCGGGCGAGGTTCACCGGTCTGAAACGCAGGCTGGGGAAGTCGCGCCCAGGAGGGAAGGTGGGGAGTTTTTAAGAGAACAGGGAAGGGAGGGGGAAGTGGGCCCCGCTAGGGGTATAATGTGGGGAATTTTTTATTGCCTCAGGGTCAGGTGATGGACAGCAGGAGGTCTCCTCCTTCCGGATGGAGGGGGTCTGCATCTGGGGTTTGTCGGCAAGTCATGGGACTGGAATCCAGGAAGAGCTGTTCATTCCTTCCCCATACGGCACAGAGCTACTTGGTGCTGTCTCTGCTCCGCCTGCATTGTCCTCGCCATTCTCCCTCCAGTGCCTCCAGCCTTACATAACCTTATGAGAAACCATAAGCCAGAACATATAGCTAGGCTGCATGTTGGTGCAGGTTTTGTTTATTGGAGTAGATTATACATTGATTAATACAAAACCCACAAAGTTTAAAAATGGATTCTATCATCTTGGACTGAAAGGAATGGCAACAGTACATGAAAAGAGAACTTTAGATCCCTGCACGGCTATGGACAGCAGGCAGCTAAGAACACTATTTAACTGTAAACATGGGCTAGATTTTATGGAACTAGAAGGATTGCTCAGAGGGTGGGACCAAGAGCTCCGCGGATGGAGACAAGAGCCACTGAGTACTTCCAGGAAGTATGATGGAGTCCTATTCAAGGAACTGACATTTACCCAACTGTATTTCAGAATTTCTAGGCTAGAGCTGCTATGTGGCTTTCATTTTTCCTCCCCTTTGAAGGGAAATGTCTACAGAGGTGTTTCCATTATTGCATGTGATGTACGTGGTAGTGGTTGGGCACATCAATTGTCTTTTTAATTCACGTATCTGCATATGGAGAGAAATCCCTTAAGGAATTACTTCACCCAAGGAACTGCATCCACTGAGCCTCATCTACTCCATGACCTCAAAAAATCCTGGACTTTAACCCTGTATTGGAAGGAGAATTCTGCAGGAGGCTGCAGAGGGAGTGATTGTATATAGCATGTGTGAATAATGTAAAACATCTGTGGCCAGAGGGTGGGTTTTGGAAGTTATAAAACATGGCCCCCACGTTACTTAACTCTTCTCCAGTCAATCTGATGCTGTGGCTGCTTGACTAATAGAATACAGTACAGAATAAAGTCTGTATCAGTCTCTGGTCTGAGGCATTAAGTGCACAAAGAAAAAAATATTCAATGACTCGTTAAAGACGGTAAGGCGGATTTTATTCAAGGCCATCGCAACAGGTGTAGGGTCCATTGCAATGAGGTTTTGCAGTGGGAAAGATTAAGCTTCACTCCAAATACAGCGTGGGTAAGTAGGAATTTAAGAGCCAAGGAGCAGGGTCGGGGGCAGTGGATGGAAAACTAAGAGGTAAGGGGGAACCCGTGGAACAGAATTCTTGTTGAAGGCAGGCAGAGGTGATTTGACATCACCTGGAGGATGGTGGAGGCTAAGGAACGTATCAGTTATCGAGATAGAGGGTTCTTGCTAAAAGTGAATTTTGCAAGGAAGGCACAGATGGGCCTAGGAGAATTGGGAGGCTGACTTAAGTTTGGTCAAGCAAAGAATCTTTGTCTTAAGAAAT